AGGCGACAATCTTGTCATTTTTCAAGGTAACGATCTTTAGAATACAGTCAGGACGTCTGTCTTTGGCAAAGATATCGATTCTGCAAAGCTGACACGGCATCTCTCGATGCTTCCGGATCTGATCGAACAAGCTCCCACTGATGTAAGGAAAGTGACAAGCATCAGAAGTGTGCACGGTCATGGTCACTGGAACACATCGGACAGCATTCTCTGATCCTGTGGCGCTCGCTTTCCTTCTACGCCTGGAAAAAAGCATAACAGGAAAAAGGCGTAGAAGGAAAAAGGCGTAGAATCCCCGTTCTTCAGAGTGCAGTTTCCAACCCACACCAAGAAGCATGTCAAAAACGTATGATTCAAATACCCCCTCCCAAAAAAAGAAAACCGACAGAAGTGACCACATAAGTTCTATACATGATCATAATTACATTCAACTTTAGCGCAAAGTTGACCCCTTCATTTCTGTTGTGATGTTGTGTTATCTGTTCTGACATCAATTTTGTCAACTTTAATACAATAGAAATAAAAGTACTTAAAGTTGTAGTGTCCGTATACCACCAACGCAGAAGAAAGTATGAGAGATCGTATTTTTAAAAGAACTATATGCACCGCTATTAGAACAATTTCTTTTCCCTTCAGTTTACTACAGAATCTGTACCGGGGAGTGTAGCTGTGTTCTTCCGTATGATGGACAAGAAGATCTTCTGTTCAACTTGAACAGGGATGTAATCACATATTCCCTGCTGTTCCATTACCTTCATCTCATGCTGGAAGCCAAACATCCATTAGCCGCCTTCCATCGTGCCTACCAGCGCCAAATCAGATCAATTGGACGCGGGGACGTGCTACCGCTACACAAGTTGCGCCTAGCCTGGGACTGCTTTGCACAACTACTGGCCATAGATTGGGAGAAGTCCTTCAAGTGTACACTGTGTGGTCTTCAACCAGACGTAATCATATGTGACGGAACCTCTCGTGGATTTAGGAAGGACCTGATAAAACATGACTCAATTCCAAACACACAGCAGTCGACTACTTCCCAGGTTCAAGGGAGTGACCACAAGGAACGCATCTTCATACCACACTCTCAGTCTCGCGTCTTACTGTCCCAGTACGCCGGTGTGAACCCTCGTCAGACCCGCCGGCTCCACTTCCCCCCACCCGGTCCCGGCACAGCTGTCCCGCCGAAAACTGACGCGGGGCAACACGGAGCAGCAGTACAACTGGGCCATCATGGTCAAACTTCGGCGGGACGCAGAGTTGCTCGCCAAGTTCCAGAGCTCGACTTCAGCGAGCGGACGGCGGCAGCCAAGTTCACAGGTAATACGAAGTCCTCCACGCTTTCCCCGGACACTTTGTGTTTAGTTGCGACTCGGCGGACGCCAAAAAGTATGACGACCTCTCAGCAGAAGAGTTCCTGAGCGGTTGCATGGGGCTGCTTCTCTATCCAAATGGCGCATATTTAAAATTGTTCTTGTAATAGTTTGGCATGTTAGTCCTAGCAGTCTTTGGAAATATTTGTTCACTTGTTCACCGTTTAGTTGCTATGTGCACTAAGTGTACTCGTGCCTCAGGGGTTGAGGACCTTATGAAGGGGAAAGAAGAATGGCTGCGTGACAAAGAGCGGCTCACTTCGGAAGTGGAGGACCTGAGGAAGAAAAACAAAGAGTGGCAGCAAATCAGATCCAAATAACACTCTACTACGCTAGTTGATGTAACAGGTGATATTTTGGACAACATTGCTAATGGTAAACTAGTAGATGCAGTATTTCTGGACCTCAAAAAAGCGTTCGATACTGTAGAGCACAAGACTCCTGACCAAGAAACATGAGTGGATTGGCCTGCATGATAGAGAGCTTGACTGGTTTACAAATTACCTATCTAATGGCTTACACGCTTTTTCAAAGTGCGACTTACTTCAGAAGTGGAGGAACTGAAGAAGAAAAACAAAGAGTGGCAGCAAGAGAACCAGCGACTCGCTCCAGAAGTTGAAATGTTAGAGAAGGAGAAAGAAGAGTTGGGGAGAGGAAACCGTCATGCCACCTCTGAAGACAAGGATAATGTACAGGATGATACGCACCAAAATGTGATGCTGGAAAGCAATAAACCAGAACTAAAGTAAGTCAAAGAAGGGGAATGGGTTGCAGTTTGGTACACCGAAGGCAAGAAGTGAACCTGGTACCCAGGAAGGGTCTTGAAGGCAGTGAAGACAGAAAACGTGCCAGAACTTGATTTCCTGACCCATGATAGGTGCTCTGGAATGTTCAAGAAACCAAAAGTTCGTGACATTAACATTGTGTCCAACCCCGTGTTTGTGGTGGGTAGAAATCTCACTGTCAAAATGGTAAAAGGGAAGGAGTCGATGCATGCAGTTAAGGAGAAGGATGCAATCGACAGCCGTTGTAAGAACCTCTGAACACCCATTATGAACTTTCATCTACCGGTAGTACTGAGGCAGTGAGACATGGAAACTTTTTTTCTGAGAACCAGACAGGGTAAAGTTTGTTTTTAGTAGTATGTAAAAGAAGTAGTACACATGTATGTTTAGATATGTACGTTGGACGGCAAGACATGGAAACTTTTTTTCTGAGAACCAGACAGGGTGAAGCTTGTTTTTCGTATAGTAGTCTGTAAAAGAATAAGTATGTATGTTTAAGCAGATATGTAAGTTGGACAGCAAGACATGAAAACGATTGTTCTGGTACAAGATAGGGTGAAGCTTGTCTTTAGTTAAGTATTAGTCTGTAACACAGTGCATCTCTCTTGCTCTCTTCACTTATTACTCGGACATCACAAAATCAAAGTCTTCAATATTTTCAGTTTTGTGGGGACACAGTCTCTTAGTGACATCACAAAATCACTGATGTGGTGTTTTTAGTTTCCAGGCATGCTGATTCTCGGCTTATTGAAAACGGTTTATTATCCATTGATGTGAGATATTCTTCCATTTATTACTATTAGCTCCAAAGAGGAGAGTGTCGACCACTGATCATCACAGGTACATGTTGTCTAACGAGGAACTGGAGCATGCATACCTAGATGCCGGGCGAACGAATACCTCTCTATTTGCAATGCACTGCGTCCGGCAAATGTTCACAGAGGGGGAATTCCTCTGGTGCAACGTGAATGGATCTGTGGACAAACTGAAACTGGATGAACTCAGATTGGACAAAATCAAAGACTGCACTGCGAAGTACTTCAGCCTAAACACAAGCCACAAGCTGAAGATAGCCTAGAAAGCGTGCTATGAGAGCATCAACACTTGGGCTAGAACAATTTGGATACAGCATGGCCGCATCAGGTAGTTGTAAAATTTAATAAACTGTCAATCCAACATTTTAACTGTTGTTCTGCTGGCATTTTTACACGATATTTTTCAATAATTTGAGCTTTTTCAATAATAGTAGCAACCAAGCAACATTACAGTGCTATTCTGTCTGAGGTCCATTTGTCCGTTGAAGATGTAAGAACCAGGCTTAGGAACATTAACCACAATAAGTCTATTGGCGCTGATGGCATTCATCCGAGAGTTTTGAAAGAGATGGCTATGCCCCTAGCATAGCCATCTCTTTCATGCCCCCATCGAGCATTATATTCAACAAATCCTTGCAGGAAGGCGAGTTGCCTAGTGATTGGAAGGTGGGAGATATCACATCAATATTTAAGAAGGGGAAGAAGAATGTACCCAACAACTACAGACCTGTGAGTCTAACTTCTGTGCCAGACAAAGTCATGGAGAGTCTGTTCAGAGATGCCATAGTGAAACACATGAAGGAAAATGGCCTGTTCACGGAACATAAACACGGGTTCCTGCCAGGGAGGTCCACCACTACACAGTTACTGGAGTGTCACCTAGAAGATTGGACAAAGTGGTTAGACAACAACATCTCAAATCCACAGGGTTCAATCAAGTCGTGGCTATGGACTTGAAGAAATGGGGTTCACAGCAGTGACAGTGGCAAAACGAATCGGTCGGAAACATCCCAAGGAGGTAGTCCACGCCTTTATGGAGTTGTGGCTGGCGTGTGGATATGGCATCCCTGAGCAGATTATGGTCGATAATGGGGGAGAATTCACCGCAGAAGAGATAATGGAGTTCACCAGCAGGATGAACATCAAGGTCAACAGCACGGCTGGCCATTCACCATTCTCCAATAGTATCTGTGAACGTAACCATGCTGTGATGCATGTCATGCTGGAGAAATTGGTATATGAACACCCTAAAACACCTATTGACCAGCTGATTGCATGGGCATGCACGGTTAAGAATGCAGTGGGTATGTTTGCTGGAAATTACACGTATCAAATCGTGTTTGGCAGAAATCCGGTGCTGCCAGGTTTTGACACACACACACCCCATCGACGAATGAGATCAAAGGTGACGCGCTGCTGCACTATATCTAACCACCCTCTGCTACCATTTGTTAACATTTTATTATCCTCTGACCAGGATGGCACACACAAAGACACACGGACTTGGCATTGCGTACACACATGTATTGACTCTGCTCCGTATACATTCAGAGTGACCCTGGAGGGGTCAGTGCGCATGTGCGCAGTAACTTTGGCGGGAAACCATAGATGTAACATTAGGCCACACCAATTTAATTTGTTGGTTCTCGGATTTTTTCAGAAAAAATATGAAGCGACAAGGCGAAAAAAAATAAAAACAGGTCTAGGCATCCTATTATATAATTTATAGGCTTAAATGCTACAAAAGGAGCCATGAAGTCAACACAAAAGGCTGGGTTAAAATTTAAACATTGAATTTTGAACTTTTAATCAAACCACTGCAATGATAGATGGGAAAACTGTAACAACTAGGAAGAAAAGGACTTTCCTCAACTGTTGGGGGGCAAAACATGAGCATTTTTCAGTTGATTCAGGACCAGAATCAATTTTTTTTTGCAAATCAGAAAAAAACGAAGAGGCAAATCCGAGAACCAACAAATTAAATTGGTGTGGCCTTAAGTTTGTATAATTAGTGAGATTGATTAAAAACCACTAATACGAACAAGTTTTCAAACTCAAGTACACATGTGTGTATCGAGGTAAAACAAACTATGCAAAGAACATTGGAACATACGAGAGGTACTAATACATTGTAATAAGGACTTTGCAACATGATAGGCTATTTATTGCGAATGACAAATCGCCTGTAAGGTAATCGCTCACATGCTGACCAAGGCTAGCCTAGGTGCAATCCGATTTGTAACGGGACTTCTTGTATTCTGCGGCCCGAGAAAGCAAGTACAATGAGCCCCCCTTAGAAATTGGATGACACCCAGGCTAGGTCGAGGCGGAGCACACTTTATTTCAGAAAACGTCAGCCGGGCCGCTGAATCAAGAAACAAATACTAGTAAATCTGACAAGACTGTGTAAAGGAACATGCGGCAGACTCTACGCTACTCAAAATAAATATTGTAATGTTGGTTAAATACAGTTGTTATATTTGCTGTGAATCTTTTTTAAAACTACATGCTTACATTCTTTGGAAAAAAATTCTACCATCATTACGACATTATGTTAATAATACTAGTATACATGTACTACACAAGGACCTCTAAGGAAAATTTATTTTGTGTCATCTATCAGCTGGGGGAAATCCATCTTTTTTAATAAAGTCTTTCGTTTTTCTTCCTGATGATGTTCCCACCAAGTATAGATGCCAAGCCCCAATGTTCCAAGTATGACTAGAGACAGACCCCCCCATTTGATAGCGTTTGGCACTTTCGACAGGATGAGATAGTCCAGTAGAATGGTGAGCGGTATCACAAGTGCGCGCAGTGCAACAGCTATGGCTGCCTTCTCTACTTTCATTACTCCTAAGAAAAACAACATGGCCACGGCTTGGGACAAGCCCAGCCCGGCTATGTACCATGCTGTCTTTGCTGACATCACCCAGACCGGGGTCTCAAATGAGTAAGTTAGTATGAGCTGAGCTACTGTTCCCGGTATTGTTATGTATAACAGCATTGTGATGCCTGACATGTCCTTTATGATGGCGCGACTGAGAACCATATCTGGTCCTTTGCTGAAGGCAGCAGCCAGCGGCAGGAGAATGGACACGACCATTGTATTTGTGGGGCCCACGGCATGTTTTGCCATCCCGATGCTGACTAGAATTACCCCGATGATGCTGATTAGGATCCCGCAGCACGGTATGAGACCAATTTTTTCCTTTAAGAATATAAACCCCAAACAGGCCGTAAACAAGGGCATGGACCCTTGAATGATGCCAAACGCTATCCCAGGAGAAGCATAGGTGAAGGACAAATACATCAGGGTGGTAGCGACATTGTTAACGACAGTTTCAAGAAACAATAAACCATTCTGGTGTTTGTTTTCACCTATCAGTTTTGGACGAAAGATTAGAAAACAAACTAAAAGTACGAGAATCTGGCTCAGTCTCAGGAAAAACATCAGTTGGAAACCCGGGATTCCGTCTTTGCTACTGAGGGCCGTCATTTCCGATGATATGGCGAAGAGAATCGTTGCACCAATGGAGAGCAGAGGTCCCCTTGCCGCTTTAAGAGATGCCTTTCTGGAGTCAATTGCCTCTTCTTCGAGATCCTCCTCCTCCACATTTGACAGCATCATGTACACACTTTGGGAACGACAATGGCGCAAATGTGGTCCTCTGGACTATTTCTGTAAAAATAATGTAAGACTTAAAGCATGCAAGGCAATTTCAGGGCGGCTACATTACAGCAACCGCACATACTGTATTTGTATCCGTGTATCCGTATAACCGCCCCTCGGTGTTACACAACAGCTTCGCAGGCACACGCGTACGCACACACACACACACACATACGGAATCCTCTACATACCGTTGCCTGCATGAAAATGGTACTGGTATACTGAGTCTAGCGACTAAAATATTAACTAGCAAATTTGTTTTCAAACAGAAACAAACACATACACACCCGCCCCACACAAAAGGAGCAAACTTCCATAAGTGCAATACTGCTTCAATATTTAAATGATGTTTTTTTAAAACAAAAAAAATAGGCACTAAACTTACCACAGCTGACGTTCCTGCCTCTGTAGTGTCGCTCTCCTTGTAGTAGTCCAACTCTCATGGGACTGTATCTACAATATAGATAATTTTAGTAATTGTTTAGTAATTGCCGATGGCTAATTGCACATACAATTAGACACAAAAAAAATAAAAACTACTGAAACTCCTAAATCTACCGGGTTTTGAGTTATTTCTTTCCGACAGTCGGAGACAAAAAACCTTACTATTGTCCACCTATAGACATCCTTAAAGGAGGAGTAACAATAAAAATACATTTAATTAATGGGTGCGGAGGGAGTGTTGCTGATTGTCTGTACCGGTCGGGTGAGTTCTGCTTCAGTGAGTAAACGAATGCTTAACCTGTGAATTCAGATTGAATAACCCCAAATCTCACTAATTTTGCAAAAGGTGGGACAATACGTCTTCCATGGTTTAAAACAGATTAGTCAAACCCATTAGACATAGTTTTAGACATAGCTATAGCTTTAAACAACTACCTTTCATCATGTAGATTTTTAGTTATTTTATACTCTGTTTCATTGTTCTTGCCACCGGGCACGAAAATCAACCATCCACAAAGATCTAAGACAGCTTCTTTTCCATAATAAGACCCATACAGCTGGAATTTGGAGGACACACGACCACCTGAAGAAACAAGGCAGGTACAGGTGAAATTTGAACGACACAAGCAACTATCACAAGAAACAAGACATGTACAGGTACAGGTGAAATTTGAAGGACATACGAAACTATCAAGAAACAGGACAGGTACGGGTAAAATTTGGGGGACACACGCAACTATCTATAAACAAGACAGGTACGGGTGACAATTTGAAGGAAACACGCAACTATCTATAAACAAGACGGGTACAGGTGACAATTTGAAGGAAACACGCAACTATCAAGAAACAAGAGAGGTACAGGTGAAATTTAAAGGACACACGAAACTATCTATAAACAAGACAGGTACAGGTGAAATTTGAAGGACACACGAAACTATCATTATCAAGAAACAGGACAGGTACGGGTGAAATTTGGGGGACGCACGCAACTATCTATAAACAAGACAAGTACAGGTGACAATTTGACTCACGCAACTATCTAAAGAAACAAGATAGGTATTGGTGAAATTTGAAGGACACACGAAACTATCAAGAAACAGGACAGGTACGGGTGAAATTTGGGGGACACACGCAACTATCTAACTACAAGACAGGTTTGGGTGACAATTTGACTCACGCAACTATCTAAAGAAACAAGGCAGGTACAGGTGAAACTGGAAGGACACACATAACTATCAAGAAACAAGACAAATACATGTGAAAATTTGAGGACATATGACAAGACTATCCCAAGAAAGCTGTCTGTGGTCGCCTGGAGTATGTAAATGTGTCCTGGCCTTATATTACACACGTGCTAGTTGTACTTCTTTAGATTAAAGAGTTGTACTTACATTTGTTTTGGCGAAGTCGACGTTTTATCCACAGGCTTTAGCTGTTTTTCCGGTCAGGAGTGTATAAAGAGTTCATCGTTTGTAACAGATTCTACATCCGGGGCCTAAAACACATATGTGGTTAAACCGGTTCGCCGGGTCGCGAGTCACAAAATGTGGGTTGTCTTCAGTGTGGGTTGTCTTCAGTATTTGCATGTTACTATTCTGTAAGCAAGCCCTTCACGTTCCGAGATCGGCATGCGGCCTTGCTGCAAGAGCAGAACTAAGGAGGTTTCCCATTCAAGTAGAGGCCTCTCTAAACGCCATCAAACACCTGATTAGACTTCGCCAGAAAGTGGAATCTTGGAGTCTTGGAAATCAGTTAAAATGGTTGACTTACTTCCAAGCAAAGTAAAGCAGCAAGTCTTTTAATAAATAAACGTTCGTGTTTTGCCGCTTTTGTCGTCGTAAGGCCATGTTGATTTGATTATATGGATGACATCCTCTGGGAACCCCAAAACTGATGCGAGCGTGCGAATAAAAAAAAAGTTTTGCAAAAAAAAAGTTGCTTTCACTATGAAATCTACGTGGTCATGAAGGTTGAACAAATGGCACAGAATATGTTATGGCGAATAATCTACTCTTCGAATCCATTTCTTTACATTTTTGTCTTTTTTCCTCTGATTTTGGCATTCTACGACATTGATATCGTTTCTAAATGTTTTCCTTGCAACTTATGGTATATTTTTGCTCATTTAGCAACTGTTTTGCACGATTTACAGTATGGTTGAAAACTTTTTTTTTTGGAAACGGCCGAAAATTCATGCGCGCGCGGATGTCATCCATATAATCAAATCAACATGGCCTAAGTATGTGAACTCCCAGAAGTAGAAAGATGAAAACATCTGCAAAGTTCGTAGAAGTAAGTATACAAGTCCGACTTGTCAGGATGTCAAGGTGTAAAATGAGGAAGACCTTTTTAAACGAAATGCTGAAATCCGGTAAAATGATAGCAAAATGATATTGAAAACTCCACTTCTCCAATTATTTAACACTTGTTTACGTAACGGATATTTTCCCGAAGAATGGTCCCTTTATAGTCACATTGTCCCTATTCATAAGTCCGGGGACCTGTCACTATCGTGGCATTTCCATAATTAGCTGTTAAGGTAAATTATTCTCGTTCATTTTAAATACTCGTTTAGTTAATTACGCAAAAAACAATAGACTATTCAAACCACATCAGGCAGGCTTCAGGAAGAGGGCAAAACGGCTAGAAGCTACCTCGCAAACCCAAAGTATATTATGTCTATTTATAGAGTATTTTTTATCGGACATATAAAAATATACTGGTAATTGATTGGAATTGTTTTCCTGTACTCAGTAGCGACCCGTCTTATTTTAGTCCAGAGACCTACCTCAAAGTTCAGCAAAGCAGATGCTGTCGAGGCGGGGCCAGTGTTGCTGAGACTGGCCCTAGAAGCTGCTGCAAAGAACACAACCTGGCATGTCACAGTGGGGAAGAAGCGAACACCAGGGATTATCGCCGCCCCAACAGCCAAAGATATTCTAGACACATTAGACATGTCCCAGCACACTGCGTTTGTTGCTAAGTTGTGTAAAGAGTTATTTGATGTGATTGTGTCAGGCGACAGGGCAACTTTATGTAGTGCTGCTAATGAAGCTATATTTGCAGAGTATTATGCATCTGTAGTCTGTACAGAGAGCAGTTATAAAAGTATGTGGGCAGATTTCATGCACATTGTAGGCAAAGGTCCATGCCCTCTGTTACATCAGTTTCTAACAAGGAAGGTCTTCGAAGGGCTCTTAAAGAAGAAACATACTATGGATGCTCCTATTTCTGATGCAGTGAATGTTGACACGACGTTTATATGCAGTGAGTAAGAGCAGGTGGTCAGGTCTATAGCTGGTTACATCCCATATGCGTTACTTAAGAGGTATAGGAGACTACCTACAAACAATGTTGCTCAGCTGTGTTCCAGTGTTCTGCTGAAATGGAAAGTGTCTTTGACACACAACACGCATGACACTTTCATTAAGTAAACAGGTTGGATTAATGAGGCGAACAGAGGTGGCCTCTTTGTAGTTTGAAGTACGGTGTACATTTTCTTTCGCCATGTAGAAAATGTTGTTAAGAGCCACTGCCAACTTTGAGCAGCTGTCTCGGGGTAGGCCTAGGCTTCAAAGCCTACGGGATGATATCATTAAAAACGTAGCTATACATTAGAAAGTAGCTATACTGTAAAGCACTATTGGTGCCAGATAGCCAGTCATATACATATATGGTGAGAAACTTAGTAAGAAGTTGCTGGAAGCGGTGCTACTATATTATGTCAACCTGAGATGCCGTGCTTTCGCAGTCCTGGCAACATCGCACGTGAAGGATTTTTTTTGGACACGGAGTGGCAGCGGTCAACCTTAGCAAGTTGGACCATGTGCATGTGCGCTGCTACAAAGCACTATTATTCTTATTCAAAAGACCAACATAGAAGTACGGGCTATAAATTGAGTTAAGAAATTGGCAGTTCATTCCTTTGTGAATTCGACACTGAGACGACATAGACAACATCGACACCAGGGGAACTGACGTGAAGAAAGGTATTTGTCTAATCATGGGATTTTTTTCGTCTTAAATAGTTGTCAGAGAAGACGAAGGAGGAGTTTGGGTGGCATCTGTATCCGCAGACATCCAATTTGACAGACATTATCACCAAGTCAGAGTATTCGAACAACGTCCTGCCCTCTTTCATGCTGCGTACTTCCCAGTCTGTCAGGACTCAAAGTTCAAGAAAGCCTTCTCTTTTGGAGAGGGATAGGCGCTATCGCGTAAGAGGGGTCGTGTGGTGTAGCGGCAGAGTGCGCGACTCGGAACCTAGAGGTCCCGGGTTCGAGCCCTGACATGCCGCCGATCTTGTGCCCTTTGGAAAGGCACTTTACACGACTTTCCTCACTTCGCTCAGGTGACAATGAGTATTGTCCTGTCATGTATTTGTCCCGTTTTGGTGGGGCATTAATATAAGTTGAAAAAAACAACTTGAGTGTGTCGTCACCACGTCTGGTGATTACATGTTGGAATTTAAAAAAATACCAGAGCGCAGTTGACTTGCCTTGGATCCAACCCAGCCGCTGCCGGAAGATTTCTCCACGAAGACTTCAGAATCAAGGGAAAGACAAGACGACAATTAAGCTGAATATGGACAAACTCAAACATGCAGAGAAGAGGCTGAAGGAACTACAAACTGAACTCAAACTGACAAGAAACTGTTCAAGGCTGATGGGAGGCGAGGCAGGGACGATGCACAGAACATGCCTTCAATCTGGAGGAGCTTGATAAGATCAAAGACCTACTGAAGACCATTTCTTCGAACGTAGCAAGGCTGGAGATGGCTATGGCC